TCCCTGCCTAGCTGAAAGAGAAGGCCCACATGTAGAAATAGAAAGAACTGGGACACTCGTCCCATATTTGGACCTCCCATTTCTGGAAGTTGCTCCACCTACATACAAGTTCCTGTTCTTTGCCATTACCTTGTCTTCCAATTTCTTAGGCTCATTCACAGTTGCTTCCTGTTCTTCTTGCCTCCAATTCAGAAATTCCAATCCCAGCGCCATCTGTGAGCACTATCCTAAGTCTCACCTCCAATCCCTCAGGGGTGCCACGCCTCTCTCTCTCTCTCTCTCTCTCTCTCTCTCTCTCACACACACACACACACACACACACACACACACACACCCCAGGATAACTATGTTAATTCGCTTCACTATAGTAACCATCTCACTATGCCTGTCTCATAGCATCCTATTGCATACTTTAAATACACACAGTAAAATTTATTTTAAGTAAACAAATCAACACATAAGATCCTGTGGGGAGGCCTCATTTTAAAAGGAGTTGTTTGAGCAGGTACTTAATGAAGCAGGGAATAAGCAGCAAGTACATCCTACAGAGGAGCACTATAGGCAGAGAAAACACATCCTGCGGTAGAAATGCACAGGAGAAATGACAGTTCAGTGCATCAAAAGGGTTCACAGCGGAGCAACAAGTTGGTGTGACCTGTTCTGAGCAGGACAGATCTGCTGTGGACTGAGAACTGACTGCAGGACTGACTGGGTGACAGTGGCGGCAGAGCACAGGAGCAGCTGCGCAGTCAACCTGGGACTTATGCTGAGGGTGGGGCCCACAGCACTCGTGACAGGTGAGGCCAGTGAGGACTCCACACTCCTTGCCCTGACCAGCTGGAAACTGACACAGGAAGGGAGGCGACAGGCTGGCTCAGGGTGGTAGAGCCAAGGGTCATTCTGGGAGGCCTTAAATTTTCTAGTCACCCATGTGAGCAGGGCGGAAGAGCAGTTCAGATATACCCCCCAACCCCACAATCCTGCCCCTGGAAAGCTGTCTCACACGTGCACTGCACACACACAAACTCGTGTTCAAGGTCATACACTGAATCACTGCCATGGCACAAGGGCAGAGGCAAGCATGACCAGAAATGACTGTCCTTCCTGAAGCACAGCCTATTTTACGTCAAGTGGAAATGACCAGACAGAAACATATTGCATGATCAGCTTCAATAACCTCCAAAGCACCCCACTGTACCCAGAACTCAGTCAAATCCCTTTCTCAAGCACTGTAGATTCGGATACTAATTCCCCTTTTCAAACTTCCCCAATACCCAGTCCAAATAGAAGAGCCAGTGTTCTGCACCCAAGTACCATGGCCTCACGTCTGCCCATGCCACCCTGCTCCTGTCTGAAATTCCTTCCTCCACTCCTGCCATGCTACCCCCTACCTGTTGTGCACCCTGGATGGAGGGCAACTACCTTTATGAAGCCATCCATGGGCCTCCCTTCTGGAAGGCACGATCCCTCTATGGCTTCTCTTTCTATCTGGTACTTCTGTGCTTCTTTCATAATTCAAGTTATATACCTGAAATATGTCTTTTCTTACCTCCTAAACTATATTCTCCTTAATAACCATATCCATACATTATTCAACTTCCTATACCCTAAAGTATCTAGGTTTTATATTCAGCAGAGTTTTTTTTTTCAAATGTTATAAGTGAACAAATGCCTGAATTTTATAGAGAGGAAAATCCCCACTCCTGAGATGATGCTCTAAAAATGAAAGTTTTTAAGAGTTCTATGACATGACACGTAAGAGCCTCAAGCTTCCCCTGAGTCCCCGGAGGGGATGAAAAATGCAAGAGCTCTCCCCTTCCTCTCCCCTTCATCCCCACTAGTGAGTTCATTACACTTGCAGTGCTAATTCTTGGGCCTGGAAATTTTATTCCTTGAGCTAAATGCCTCACACTACAGGTGAGGATAAAAGGTCTGTCTATCACGAGGTAGCCGGAAGTGCAGAAAGGATGTATAGAAGTCAGGACTTCTGAGAGGACACAACTTACCAAGAGAAGGACTTCACGTGTTCCTGAATCATGATCCAGGTCTGGCCAAAATCATCAGACTTCCATAGCTGCAAAGACCAAAATGACAAGAGGCCATGAGATGAGAACTGCATACAATCTGAACAGAACCACTGGGCAAAGCCCCCTAAAACCCCACCTCAACAGCACACACTCTGCAAGGGCACTCCAGAGCCAACAGACAGAGAGGGAAGGACAGATGTGCACCTTTGCACTCTTCATTGGTAGGCACTGGAAGAAAAAAAATGAATGTGACTTGCCTTCCATTTATGGATTACCAGAAACTTATTCTACTCAAGACCAGCCCACAGTGAATGGTATTTCTTGACCAGGAAATAGTATCCTTAAACAGTTTGTAATGCCAAACTAGGGATGTGGCTCAGAGGTAGAGCACTTGTCTAGCATGTGCAAACATTTCCCCCAACACTGTGACGGGGGAAAAAGAAAGAAAGAAAGAAACTTGTAATGGATAGCAGCATTATTTACAATATCCAAAATATAGAAGCAATGCAAGTGTTCATCAAGGGACAAACAGAGGAGCAAACTGTGGTATATCCATACAATGGGCTATCACTCAGCCTTGAAAAGGAATATGGATAAACCTTGAGGACCATAGGCTCAGTGAGATAAGTCAGTCACCAAAAGACAAACTGGGTACGATTCCACTTATGTGAGGCACTTAGAACTGTCAAAAACAGAGACAGAAATTAGAATGGTGGTTGCCAGGGGCTCAGGAGAGAAGAGGGCTAGGGAGTCAACGTTTAATGGAGACAGAGTTCCAGCTCACAAGATAAAAAGAATTCTGTACCTGGATGGTGGCAACACTGTCCAACAATATGAATATACTTAATATCAATTAACAGAAAATATGATTAAGATAGTAAGATATATGTTACATGTATTTTACCTCAGTTTAAGGGGGGGAAAAAAGAAAGAAAAAAGAAAACCTCTGGGCTAGGGCTGTAGCTAGCAGGTAGAGTCTTGCCTGGTAGGCACAAGGCCCTAGCACCAGAAATAAAAACCCTAAATGAGCCTTGGTCATCAAAATCAAAGCTGACAGCAGACGACATCAGCCAAGTACAGAAAACCAAAAGGAATCAACTGAACACACAGACAAGGCCTGCGTCTTTGCCAAAGTCCCTCAACTTCTACTAATGTGACCCAAGGGTTTCTCTGGCCCCAGCAAATGTGTATTAGGAACCATGGGACCAAAAATAACAATGATCCACCTCCCCTGGTAAACTGACCCAGCCCAGTTTGGGTTACTCCTGAAGGCAAGCAAAGGCAAACAGATCTGTGTTTTGGTTAAACATCCCACAAAGCAAAAGAAACGTTCCAAGTTTCTTCTGAACAAAAACATTCGAGGCTCCTCATCTGTCCCCTCATACAAGCTCTAGAGGTTTCAGGGTTTCATGCCTGACCAACGGTCTTGACTTGGCAAGCTTCGCCTCGAGGTATAAATCTACTCAGCCTCTCTTCTTACCTGCTAGCTTTCCTTCAAAAACCTAGATGCCAAGAGGAAAATATACGCATTTATGTTCCACCCATGTGCCTGCCCACAACACAAAGGAAGAATATCAAAGTTAAAGGTGACTTCAAACAGGTGGCAGGCAAAAGCAGTGTGTTTAAGGTGGGGCTCGGGGTGGGGCGTAGGGTCAGAGCACTGGCCTAGCATGTGCCAGGCCCTGGGTCTGATCCCCAGCTCTGGAAAACCTGAACAAACAAATGAGGTAGAGGACGGAAGAAATGTGACAAGAGGTCCCAGAGGGCTTAGACTCCGGACCTCCCCAGGTAGCCCTCTCTGATTAAATTCCAGGGCCTCGATTTACCCCGAGGGCTAACAAAGGGGCATGGTGTTTAAGTCCCAGGGCCTGCCAAGGGCTGGGTGCCAAGTGCTGGGTGCCAAGTGCTGGAGGAGAGTGCCCGGGGGTATCCCTTTCCTGAGCTGTGGGAAGTGAAACAGTAGCTCCAAAGGCTAAGCCTCAGAGAGGAGGAGGGAGGGGCAGGAGGCGAGGTCACCCAAAGGACACACCATCCACCCAGGCCCAGGAGAAAATCCCAGGAACCCCAGACGACTGAGCTCCGGAAGCTGTCTTACCTGCTTGTTGGGGTGAGACCTGTCGAAGCCCAGGAGGAGGTTGGAGGCCTTACTGTGGAGGAGGAGATCAGCTGCCCGGAATGGGATAGAAAAGCCATGGATAGTGTTGCAGAAGTCAAAAGTGATCCAGAGGTACTGGGCATAAGCATCTGCAAAGATGTACTGCAAGAGAAAACAGGTACTCAGAGCAGCACTGGGCCAGAGCCGCCCAGCGCCTCCCCAACCCATGTGCTGACACATGCAGGTCACGGGGCACTGGCTTTCACATCTCCCCATCTCCCAGCCTCTCCTGGCAATGAAAGAATGCTGTCCACACCAGGGCAGACTCAGTGGAGAAGGGTGGTGGTGGGCCGGGGGAAGCCACAGGGAGCTTATTTAACCAGGTAATGAAGCTGAGCAAGCCTTTCCTGGCAGGTCACTCGGTCACAATCAGAGGGTAACTATCTGTTGGCTGAACACAAATGAGACTGCTGTCTCTCCCTGCATGCTCTGAGCACCTATGGGATATGTCTTTCCAAGAAAATCACTAAGATCACATCCTTCTAAGAAGAGAAGCTGCCCCTTCTTGTTACTATACCAGGTGACCGGGCAGCTCTGAGGATCAGGGCAGGAAGTGGCTCTGATGAGCAGGACCTTGCCTTATTTTGCTTCTGTGACTTTGAACAAGTTTGTGCAGAGAGCGGATGCAGCCTCAGCACTGTCTGGGGGGGCAGAATGAGAGAGAGTCAATTCACAGGTGTACTGGGGACCCACCATGGACTAGATGATGAGGTACCACATGAAAAGCCCGGATCCTTTCCTTCCTCACTGCAACCTAGTAGACACAAGCCAGTTCACCTAGTTCATGATTCAAGATTAAGAGAGAAACCAAAGGCAGGGTCCTAGAAGAACCTATTCACGTTGGAAATGACTCCACAGAAGAGGTGACAAGGCAAGACTTCCACAGGGAAGGAACTTCCATGTCTGATGCAGTTTGCGTTTGGGCACAAAGGAGGGGGAAAAAATTATCACATGGGTTTGATGACAGCCTTGAGGACCTGAGGAAATAACTGGAAATAAGCCTGAAGGGCACATGAAAGATCTGGGGGCCAGCCCCCCAGGAGGACGGTGGTCCAGGAGACAGGCTATGAACCAGAAACCAGAGCCACAGGGCCCAGCTCCACCCAAAACCTGTCATTCTAGAAGTCAACCAATCTGAAGGCCTCCACCAGTGGACACACAGTCTCTGAGAATACCTGATCCAGGTCAAGGTCCGCCTCTGCACGCCATCAGCTGGGCTGCACTAACCACTTGGCGCTCCTTCCCACGTGGCTTTCACATGCTCTCATTCCTTCCTCATTCCCACACTCTCCCCAAATCCTGACCAGACGCCTCCCAAGAGCTCACTGTGTGTCCTCCTCTGGTTTCCTCCCCAGCATCTAATGTAAATCCCCACATTTTACAGAAGCCTAATTAAATCTAACGGAAAGGTAGTAAATGTTTTCAAAGCAAAAAAACTACTCTAAGCAAATGCAATGTAATAAAAACAATTATGATCTACGGGGATCATCATAATTTTCGCCATGAAAAGCATTCCCTAGAAATAGCCTATCTTCCAGTTCCCGAACCATCTGGGTTCCCGGGGAAGGGAGTGTTCTCGGTTTGAAAAGAGTTCTCCAGAAATCTATGCCGTGGTTTCCAGCAGTATCACATTTGTGAATCTTGAGGAAAAAACAAAAAAAGAAACACATCATGTTCCCAGTCACAGAACTTATTGCTGCTTATGATAATAGCTAAAATTTTTCGAGAGCATTTTGTATGTGCCAAGTAATGAGCTAAAGGTTTTGCATGTTTCATCTCATTTACTCCCCTTAGCACCCATAGCTCAGGGCCTGGGGTAGTGCTGTTACATCCCTTTTAATAACGAGGACTCAAAAGCTTCACGTGACAGTGGCTAGCTGCCCAAGATGACACAGCAGCCCTTACACCCACACCTGACCAGTGCAGAGCCCATCTCAATAGTTCATCAATCCTTCTGTCTTCTTCCAACCAAAAGGTGTCAGCATCTCCTGAATTCAATGGTCAGTCTCCCATTATACTATCTGACGCATTTGCCTGCCTCCTCTCCTAACTCAGTCCTCCTGTTTTTACTGGAAATTCTCTTCCCTCACCTTCCACCACCCTCTTCCAACTCAACTCTCTCTGCCCCACCCCTGACCATCTCAGACCTGGTTCTCCTTTGCAGGTCCCTTCACCTCCAGCCCTCTGCACTCTTGCCACCTCGTGACTCTTCCATCCTTTGCTAACCTGGCTCATCCTTCCACAGGGCTTTGACTGCTGCCTGGAAAACACACATCATGTGACTGCTATGGTTGCTTGCAGTGCGACCCCCAAGGATCCATGAATTAAAAGTGTGCTGATGTTAAGAGGCCTTCAAGAGGCAGAACCTCATGAAGGGTACTTGGATGCTGCCCCTAGGGGTACTGAGGTAGTTTTCACCTCACAGTCTGGTTTCCTGTCACACCACATGCTCTATATCCCTCTCACACTTGCTCCTACAATAAGGCCGTCTATCATGATGTGAAGTAGTCAAGAGGCCAAACTGATGGGGCTCCTCTTTGATTTTCAGCTCTAAAACTGTGAGCTAAGTAAAACTTCATTTCTTTATAAAGTACCCAGCCTCAAGCATTTTGTTTTAGAAAAGAAAAACAGATTAATAAAATGACTTTCACATATACAGTCTGACTTCTCACTGAGGTTCTACTTTCATTACTTTCTTGATCTTCTTAGCTTCTACTCTTGGATGGACCAAGATATTTCACTGTGTCCGGAACTGAATTCTTCAACACCTTCCCAACAAAACCTAATTCTCACGCCCTATGCCCCAAGATCCTTCTGTGCTACATCCCAACCCCAGGCATTAAGTTTTTACTCTATTCCCTCCCTTAGTCCTCATTTTCAAACAGCCATTGGAAGTCCATTATTTTCCTCTAAAGTCTTTTTCAAAATGTGTGCATGCCTTCCTTTTTATACCTAGTTCTACTAGCATGGCCTGTGGCCCTATTTAAGACTGTGAGCAAACTGGAGGCAGACACCGGGTTCTATTCATCCTGTGTCTCCCAGGACTAGCAGGGTGTGAAACACTTGGAGGAAGGTATGAGTTTGGTTGAGTGACTGAGTAACCTCGTGGCCACAATGGTTCTCCTTCTAGACTCTTGAATCTTTGGCTTCCGACCCTACATGCATAATACTGCTGGCAGGTGTATGTCCCTCAGATACTACTCAGTTGCTCCCCTACTCAGACTTTTCCATGGCTCCCCACTGTTCTCAAGGCAAAGAAAAATCCCCTCCATCTTTAGATGACATTACAAAGCAGTTCAATGCAAACACTCAACTCCTGAGAAGCAAATCTCCTGAGTATCCTGCACAGAAACCACATGCAGGCACCTTGAAGCCTCTGCACACACCTTCCTCCTGCCAGAAGGCTCCTACCTGTTCTGCTATACCTAAAGATATCCGGGTGCCTATCCTTGAAGTTCCATTCCTAATCCTATGCATGCCAAGAAGACTTACTCCTCTGACCCAACCTCACAGAAAAGTCATGTATGCCCACTGGTGCACCCTGTAACTATGTACTGTCACATAGGCACATGGTAGGAAAACTCAAAATGCCCTACCCTGCTCTCACGTCTCCTACTGCCTGGCTGTCAAGCTCCTTGGTGGCCAACCCCTCAAAGGTGCCCTGAGTGTTGCTTTCAGAACTAGGTAATCTCAGGAGCATCTTCTCCTACTCTGACTCCTCTGACCCTGTTTGCAATTGCATAATATTCCACAGAAGCGCCATCCTTTGACTACAGCTACATTTCCACTGAAAAATACAAATACTTTTGGAAAAAATAATAAATCAGCTACAAAGTGTATCTACGTGATATCAGCACAAGTGACTTTCTCCAGCTTTGAGTGAAGGAAGCTGGAGAGTCCAATGAGAGGGGGAAGGGCAGAGAAGTGACTAGGAAGAAAGCGAAACAGTATTGGTTAGACTTGCCCAGGACCAACCTCTGCCTGGAGAAAAGCATGATCACATCTCGCCTGTGTGGAGACTGAGGCTCTGAAGCCCACTGCATTCAGTGGGGCTTCAAAGGGCCCTAGATACAGCTAGATATTGCCTGGCAGATCAGTGGAGCCTGGGAGGCTGGTGGAACTGCCAGGTGGCTGGAGCTGCACACTGGTTCAGGGAACAGCACACAGGGGACCAACAGAGGGAAATCGGATGGCAGGCTAGAGCAAAAATAGACCACAACACTCATATGTCCCCACAACCATCCCATCTCCATTACCAGGCGGAGCCACAGACCACAGCCTGTGGCCTCCTCACCCCTTCTGTCCCCTCCACAGGCACACATCCACTCAGACTTCCAGGAGGCCCTCTCTTGACATCTAAACCTCCCAGAGCAGCTCTGACAGCTTCAAGCACTGACAACCCAAGGAACGTTTTTTTACACAGGTGATTTGCCTGGGCCTAGCACCCTGCTGTCAACGGGGAGGCACCCTGTCTGTGTGATTTTTCTCAGGAAATGGTAGGTCTGGTGGGGTGATTTGCCTTCCAGGGGACAAAGGTAAAAGTAACAAAAGCAATCAGCACAATAAGAGTCATCACTTCCTTCCTGAGATGTCTGGGGAGGGTAACAGCCTTCTCTGGGGAATTAGAAACTGCAGGGAGGGCTGCCTCCCTCCTCCACCGGCTCCAGGCCTTAGGTCCAACCAACTACCATTAAATTCTCCAAGAAAGTAGTTTTCAGCTCCCTCAGAAGAAATCTAAGATGCTTTACCCTGCATGGCTGACAGAACATGGCCTACACACATGCCTCCCCCCATCTCACCATGCACCACCTGAACCTCTTTTATTGCAATCATCCCCAGGTTTCTCCCCTTCCTGTTCCGACTCCGGGGCCCTGCTCTACCCCTTCTGCAGACCTGATGCTCCCAAAGGCCCTGATCCTCTGCCTGTACTAAAGCTCTTCGTGCAGGCCCAAAACATCATCTTTCCGGTTTCCCAACTCCTCTGACTTGTGGTCTTAGCAGCCGCCTCACCACAACCTACAAGAGGCAGGAAGGAAGACAGCCCTGCCTGTAGACATCTGTGCCCTGTGGGAGGGGCACCCGGCGGAGCTGAAAAGGGCGTCCAAAGGGACAACAGGGCAATTTCAAGGCCATGACTCCAGCCAGAGGTAGCTCTGAGATGATGTGGAAATATATTGGTAATAACAATAATCACATAAGACAGCCTGATAAAGTGAGCAATCCAAGTATCATCTGCTTTTTGAGAGGCAGAGGGAACACAGCTCCATCCAGAGACAGGCAGCACAGCCAGCAACCAGGCCCTAGATAAGCTCCTCACCTCTCATGAGCCCAGGTGGGTGGCTCCCCCACCACCAGGACAAGGCTTCACTGGCCACAGGCCATGGGGGGAGGCACAAAAAGGCCAGTCATCTGGTTGACATAGCCAGGTCCCCCCAATACCGTGTCCTTGCTTTTCATCTCAAGGGAAAACTGCTCTGTCACCCTAGAGTTGGATAAGAGGAGGAAGTCTGCACCTAACAGTGCTTCCCTCTGAGATCATCAGGCAGGGCTGATATTTAACCATTATCACCAGTAATGACAATTCTAGCTTTTTTTTTTTTTAAATGTTCTGTAACCAGCTGGTAAACAGTCACTGCCAGGAAACCCCGAACTGGCTCTACCTAAAGCCCCAGAGGTGGGGGCCCTGCCCCCAGGACTTCCACAGAGACCAGCAATTAAAAGGTTAATGTCTGGCCTAGTGGGGAGCCTCCTGGACCCAGCTCCCTCTGGCCAGGTCAGGGGCCCAGCCACACCAGTTGCCACACCAGGGTAGGGAATCCGAAGAACACACACAGTTGCTAAATAGTCTGAATGCAGCCCTGCTAGGAGACCAAGGGCAACCTGAGAAGCAGGCACAGGGGCCAAGGAGTGAGGACCCTGTAGATCTTGCTCGCTCATTCCTTTCTGGATGAGCAGAAAACAGCAGCTTCCCCTCCCACAGAATGCTTTTCCTCCTAAGGAGTTTCTCTACAAAGGGTCTTTCCCCAGGAGAAGCCACTGGCCCTGGGGAGAGCGGGAAAGAGAGCAAACAAATACAACTCTCCTGAGCTAAGAGTCACCACACCAGCAGGAATGCCAGGCAGGCTGCTGGGCTTCCCCTCCACCTGCCTG